ATGTGTATTTACATGTGTGTATGTGTTTCAGCTCTGTACAGGGCTACTTCAAATCTTGCTTAAGTGAAAGACATTTCTTTATTAAGGCTACTGTGAGTAAACCAGTCTAGAAGATTTTCCTGCTCTTCAATCTGTTAATTTAGAGACTGTTCCAAGCTACACTAAATCCTTTATGAACCCTTACAAAGACTTTCAAGTACTCCCCCTGACTCCAGTGGTCCGAATTTCAATAGCACAGCGATGCTCTGCAGAATGTGTGAAGACAACTAATACACCAAATTGTTTCTCATGATGTTCCCTAATCTCATTGAGGGTGCTTCACTTACTTTCTGCATAGTAAAGCATTCATTATAAAGACCCAGTCAGTCCCTAAATGAAATTAGCTTTTATTAAACAAAATACTACTTAATTTCTTTCCATGATATTTGCTTTCGTTCAGTATATTCCCAAACGGAATAGCTCTGTCAAGTCTGCTGAGCACAGCTGGTTAAATTAATGACCAAAATACAATAAAATCTGGTCAGATTGATTGAGTTAAAATATTTTGTTCTGTATTTCTGTCTGGCAAAAGCGTTGCAAAAACTTTATTAGAGAAGAGTCACTCTGGCTACTGCCATCACAAATACATCACTGAGGAGATAATCATGCGCAATATTTTCCAACCATTTTGAAAAGCAATCTAAAACAGTACAGGGAAATACTTAATCTGTTTATCAGACTGTGATGGGAAAATAGTTGGAGATTAGAGGAGGAAATATGAATTTGATGTTTATAGAACGTGTCTATTTAGCTTTCCCATTTTATCAAGGTACCAAAATAGTCCACAGTTTTTTGCTTCTGACAGGTTAATTACAAGGTAAAAGCATGTGTGCAGTTAAATAAAAGATGTTGTTAATCACAAGAACAATGTAAGGAAGAGTAATCTTAAAAATACACAAGTTAATCAAAATATTTTTCATCTCTTTATATTACATTATATTGTATTAAAAGGCAGTGGAGCTTTGTATAATAGTAACCAATTTGAACTACTTACAAGTACATGGCATATACAGACACTTCCAACTATACCACCTTCTGGATGACTTAGTGCATCCTCTCTCTATGTAGGAAAGGAAACCCAGCAAGAAGGAGCTGAATTCAAAAACTCAGAAACTTTCTAAAAACCTGAAGAGAATAAGTGCCCAAAGAAATATCAGCCAGACATTCCATTTTTCTGACAGTTAATCCTCAACCTAAATAGCGGATATATTTACTGAGAATATAGAAGATTACAGTGTCAGTGAGATTCCAGTACAGCAAATGAAAAACTTTGCTGGCTTGCCAAAAATTTAAGCCATGAGGTTTTCCTGATGAGCAAAGTTATAGTCTGCAGTCAATCAGAGAAAGTAGGACTAGAAGGTAACTGAAAAAGTCACACAGGGCATTCTCCAACCCAAAGGCTGGATCAGCTATACCTAGATCAGTAGATGTATGTCTACTCCATTTTTAAGAGCCTTCAGCATTGAAATTCTATACCTTTCTTAAGTGGGATGTTCCAGCATCTTCCTGCATTGATAGTCTGAAAGCACCTCCCAGTCTATCTTACTGCAGTTCAAATCACTGTGCTTCCTATATTAGCCACGGTGGACATGGAAAACTTCCAATTTCATTTACTTCCTCTTTCAGATTATTTTAATATTGAAGACTAACTGCTGGGCGTCCTTTCAGCTCTTTTTATTCTCCATGATGTACTACAAAACTATTGTCTTCAAATGACTCTATATGTTCCACTGGTGGCCCTCTTCATTAGCCATGGATCACTTCATGGGTGGGGTTCCGCTGAGTTCATGTAGCCACTGAATATAACCCACACAGTGCCAGTAATGCATTTTATCATATGGATCAATTAATTTCTGTTAATCTCAGAAAATATTCTTGAATTCTGATTTTTCTTTGGGAAGGTAGAAAGGCAGTAGAACCCACCAAAAACACTTTTTGAATTCACTGTGTGTTGTACAGGTTGAGTCATGCCAGATCTCACTGGCATGTTCCAGTTCCACTCCTGGTAGAACAAACAATTTTTCCAAAGAAAAAACTACTGAGCCCACATCCACCAACTGACTGCTTTTACTTTCCTCCAGCTGAGATTGTTCATTGGTAAAATCAAGAGGATGCTGTAGTCAGGATGACTGACAGATGAGAAGTGCCATCCGACAGCAAGTAGAACATGTTCCCACCCAGGAACTTACACCCACATGGTCTGCAGTAACCTCTCACTGCTGGGCCTTCCTGAAATCACTGTCTACCTGATTTTGGTGATAAAAATCCCCACCACACACTAGGACATAGTAGTGCATTGTACCACAGGCAAAATTCATAGATGAAATTTATCTGCCTTCAGAGCAGTGCATATACCTGTATTTGTACACATACACAAGGAAGTGTAGAAGAGTTAAGAATTCTAACCAGTTTTAACACGCCAGATTGAAATAAGATAAATTAACAAAACAGTCTATAAGTCAATGTTGTTTGTTTTTTTTAATGGTTTCTTTGTGACTTAAGTGAACAAATTTCCACTGTGCTGTTTGCAGAACTAGGAAAAAGTGGAGAATTTAGTAGTGTTTCATGATCGTTAGCTTCATGAAATTTGTTCCCAAGTTTCTTAACTCCAGAACTTTCCTACTATTTTAACTAAATGCTGATACTTATTTAAAAACACCACCACACAGCTTTCCAAACTGATGTATCCCCAAATTTTATCTGCTAGTGACTCAGCTTGGGTCATGATCACTTCTAAATGATCAATCGGGGCTCAGCAATTTTTCTAGAATCTTGAATACAAGGTGCCTCTGTCAGTCAGGGTTATTATGGAGGAATTCTCTGCTCTTTTGTGTTGCTGCCCTTTAATACAAAAGACCTTTGGAAATGCTTGCTGCAGCTGCTGAAAATAATCTGCTGTCATTTTTTTTTTTTTTCAAATGACATTTGAAAAACAGGTTATTGTAGAAGATAGTTGTAAGCTCCTTACCTTTTCTTTTTTCTTTAAGGAACACATATTCCTCTCAGCAATTTAAAGATCAGCCATTTTTCAGCACTCAGCTTTTTACTCCTTCCACCCCTCTCACCCCCCCCCATCCCAGCTTGGTCTCTTAGTCTTTACAGTACGTGGTTTTATTTGGTTCACGTGTAAGATTAAACAATCACAACTCATTTATCTGCATTCGTTCAGAGTTTTCATCTCTGTAGCTTATTTTATTTGTCCTTAGGGAATTTCACAGAATTTGTCAGCAAACTTTCTTAATAATATTTTATATCTTTGAAAGCCAAACCACAGCATTTACTATGTCTAAAATTATTAAAATCTGGTGGAGCAATTTCCTACAGATTTTTAGTTATTACAGTATAAGATAACAACAAGCAAACTGGTCTGGAAAAACTCACCACTGTCCAATCAAGATTTACACACAGAAGAAAAATGGAAGCTCTTCAGACACTTCATGAGATTTACTGGGCTTTAAAAAAAAAAAAAATGTAATTCATTTTTTAAGGAAGCTCCAGAAAACAGAGCTAATTTTAACCAGCAGCATACAAGTACACAGCAAAGGGGAAAATGAACCATTATTCTGAATTCGTAGGATCTCTCCTGGTTTCTGTTAGCCAGGTGAGGGGGATAAAGAGAGCTGATGCCATTTTAGTACCTGATTTTCTCTTTGAGCCAGATCAGGTACCAATGGACACAGTGACAGAGGAGGACAGCAGCCACCTGATAAACAATGTGCACGTAACTCCTTCTGACTTCCTTGTGAGCTGAGGAGACCCAAATCCATACAGTCAGCTACACCAGAATTGTCTTCTACATAAACAGTATCTGCTGTGACAGATAAGAGCTTTTTAACCAAGTCACTGAGAAATGCTTTTCATAGTTTAGAGGCCCAAGCCATGGCCTCTACATTGCCATGAGATGGGAAACACGCCGAGAATCACAGCCCTCCCCACCAAGGCATCCTGACAGCCACAACTGACTCAGCTGCTTTCACAGCCCAGGGAATCTAAATCACTTCAGTGTAAAAGGTCCTCTTCTCAGGGATGTGTCACTCCAGTTTGAGTGTCATCTCCCACAGAAAGAACTAAAAATCTAATTCTAGTTCTTGAAAGCAGGATGCCCTGTGAAACTCTGTTCTTTGATTACTTTAGCCAGACACAAAGGTGTTTTCCCAGCTGGAAAACTGTTGAATGTCTGCTTAAAATAAATAAATAAATAAATAAATAAAAAATAAAAAAAAAAAAGCATTCTTTTATGGAGATTAGTTTACTAAGTTTAATTGATAATTCCATCTTTTTAATGATACAAAATACACAAAATTTATTTCCCAGTACAATTTTTTCATTTGGGCGTCCTCTGAAGTGACATTATTTAGTTGTGAACAAAACAGGAAGTATTCATAAAAGAATCTTTCTTTGGTTTACACCATTTGTTATGACTGGGATACATCACCTGTCAAATTTACTTCTGGTTTCAAGAGGTTTGTAGCCTACCAATAATCTAGCTAAACTGGGTAATATTTATAGGCTGAAAAAGAATATAATATAAGCGATAAAGCACGTCTGAATACTCTCCTTCTGAAAAGCCCGGAAATATTTAGATCCTTTTCTGCAGGTGACATTTAATAGCTCTTTGAAGAAGGCATGACCTTATTCCATGAGTGTAGTAGTTTTGATAATGGGTGTTTGATCTTTCACTGGTATACAGCAAGTTTGTTCAACACACATACATATAGCAACTTCATATTAATTCTACACTAAATATGTGCTTCCATATCTTTTGTGGGGTGGATAAAGCAGTTCCTCATTAGCTTTAAAAATAATATAAATAACACCTTATTGTCAGAAGACCAACACTGAAAGCAGCATGTGTTAAGGATTTTCAGCAACCAGATTCTAACACTGATCTGACAGGATTATTTACCTTTACCAGGTAAATCAATAATCTCAAATAATGTCTGCTTGTTTCTTCTGAACAGGATCCCTGTTCTCAGCTCTGAAACCCCCTGAAATAGTCTTCAAGGTGATTTTTTGGCTTGGCTACTTTAACAGCTGCTTGAATCCAATCATCTACCCTTGCTCAAGCAAAGAGTTCAAGAGAGCTTTCATACAGATTCTAAAATGCCAGTGCCACCGTCGAAAGCAGTTGGGGTGGTGGGCCTACAGCTACAGGAACTGGAATCGGTGCTCCTTTGAACACCCTCGGAAGGACTCTCTGGAAGACAGTGGGAGTTTCTTAAGTGGCAGTCAGAGGACATTATCTTCAGCATCTCCCAGCCCTGGCTACCTGAGCAAAATCACTCACCCGCATATGGAAATGTGTACATTCCAGGAATGGAAAAACCCCAGCTCTTTCCTGAGCCCCTTACAAGAAGGCAGCAGTCAAAAGAACCCATGCCAATTCTTCACCTTCAATCTCCTAACAGAGCGCAATGGACACATAGCTGCTAGCAGCCAAGCCTCCAGCAATGGGGACCACGAGGACATCTGTGACACAATGAATGGTAGAACTGACTGTAGTACAAGCATCGTGCTGGAATGAATGGATTCTAATCAGTCTGCACAGATTCTGCACTCTTCATACACCAACCTCTGATATTTATCCCAGGGGAAGACATGGACCACTGCACAGTTCTCAGTATGGCACTAGAAGGAAGCCAGTGAGGAACAGGCAGATTATCATCACAAGAATGGCAAAATCTAGAGGCTAGCTATGTTCCTAATAAGTTGCTAAAGATGCTACTGAAACAAATACAGAATGCAGAAAAGTAGCTGGATAAACCCAGGGAAGTACACAGCCAATTATTCAGCTATCATGGTAGTGCTGTAGAACAGCCAAACACACATGTATATAGAAAGAACGTATAAATGTGGGGGAGGGCAAGGGAAATGTGTATGAAAGTTTGTGCTCACACGTGTGCTAGCAGCATGTTTGGATACCTGAGAGTGGAAGTGAGCAATGCAGTTGTACAGCGCTGTTTGTACCTCTCCAGAGCACTAGCTGCTGCTGATTTTGCCTGCAAAATTCTGATTGTTGCTGTACTTCACTGTACATTAGCACTTTAGAAATGGAAAACAATGTCAAAGATTAAAGTAATTTCGCAACAATTTAAGCACTTGCACGTATTACTATGGAGCTGGAATCCAACCAAGTTCCCTCCACGCAGCATCCATTTTAAAATAAAACACGGCGGTTAAGTTTAGAGTTATAACTCCTAGGATGTTCTTGACACTCTGCAGTTGCTTACTTGCCATGATTCCCTTATTATCAACAGTTGTGAATTCCTCTAGACTTTACCATGTTCTATTTCAAAAGTTTGAAAACAGCAGCAATGATGAGAGCTCACAGTCCATGTTTCAGCACATCAGTAAAACGTCCTGAAAAATACACAGGCTACCAGAAGATCTGATTTATAAAAACAACACTCATAAATTCCTCCAAATCCCTCATAAACAGCGCTGAGAACAGAGCAGAAAAGAGCACTGACCGCTGGAGGACCAAAAGCCAGCTTAAAGACAAAAATGCTGAGCCCTTGGTTGTTTCTGCACGCTTTGAAAATAGTACTGCTCTTGTAGAGTTGTTTTTTACTTTGCCAGTTAGATAAAAAGAGAAAGTATTAAAACAATGAAGTAGTGATAGAATTTCACTGCCATCGATAGTTTTAAGCTCAGTAACAAAACAAATGAATATAAAGATGTGATAATTATGAAATAAACAAGAGAGTTTGGCAGAGCAGATTATAATAACAAAAAGAAAATAGATAGAAAGTGTCGTGGGCTCGCTGCAAAACTCCAGAGGAGGGATCTCTAGAAGAGATCCTTCCCCACTGGTGGTCGGCTCTTCAATGAGTCAAGGAGCAGTGCAGCCAGGCTCCAGCCCTTCCAGCAGCACAGGAGAATTGCCTTCACCTGTGCTCCCATGGCTGACTCAGTGCTCAGTCAGAGGTTCAGGCCTTTATTCAGCAGTTCCCACACAAAGTATGTAACTTAGTTCTGGAGAATATCTTCAAGGACATTTTAGTTTGGAAATCTCATCTCTTGCAACTAAGGGTGAATCATGAAATTAATGACTGATTTTTCTTTTATTTGAAGTGGTATAAAGTGTGAAAACAGGTATTCACTCCTTCCTTTTTCTTCTTAAGAATTTTAGCAATGCTTTTGTATAGCTTGAAACAGAGAACAAGCCACGAAGAGACGTACTAAAAACACTAGGGATAGTTTAAAACATTAGGTCCCAATGGAGAACCATTTCCTTTTGTTTCCTTAAATGTGTATTCTCAGATTAAGACAATAGCAATGGATGCAGCTTGTGGTTAGATGAAACATCTCCCAGTTCAGTCAGCAAAGATAGGAAAGTCACATTCCAAGATCTTCCCGTGGTCAGATGGGATTGTGAGAACTACGTAAGTACACTGTGAGTCCACTCTGGTCCCACCGCAGGGAAGGCAAATCTATTTGAAAAGTTCCATTTTGATTGTGAGGAAGGCTGTAATTTTCTCTTAAGAGGACAATGCTTCTAAAATTTATAAGCATTATAAAACGGATTTACAGACTTATTGCTCATATTGCCATAAATAGTATTTTACCTACTTGTGATATACTAATATCAATTTACCATTTTTGAGCCTACAAGTGGCAGACAACTACATTTTCAAACTTTCACTGTAGTTTTTTTGGAGGAAACCCACAGAAACTTGTGAAACACTTCTGGATTTTGTAAAGTTTAGTTGGAAATGAATTTCTTTAACTAATGAACAGCATAAGTCAGCCAGATTTTGAGTCACGTGTGACTTATGCAGAGTAAATTGAAGCAACTTTATCCACGTTTTACAGTTTCTATGCGATGCTGGTGGGTTTCAGAAAAAAATAGCACTTCACTACACTAAAGCCTTTAACTACGTAGCTCTCAGAGACTAACAATTCTTTTTACTAGATTCTAATCCTAGCAAGACTGAGATCTCTGATCACTATTTAAGGGCCTCAACACAATTCTATAATTATCTACAACATCAGATAGCCTTTCATCCCACACTGGGGTCACCTACCAGTATTTGTAATCTCTATACATTTTTTATATATGATGTTATATATATGACCTGTTCACAAGGTAAACGGCTTTCTTTAAATTCTCCAAAAAAGAAAAAGAAGATTTTAGTACTGAAAAAACCTGCTTTCTCTAAACAATGTAACAGATCAGGAAGAAAAGATTTCCAATCACATCATGTCAGCCCATGCCCTGTTGAGGCCAAAACCCTCAGAGTGCCAGAAGTCCCAAGACAAGTGTTCAATAAAGCCTTAGAGAGAGCAGGTATGAAGGTGTTGCACAGACAGACACCAATATTTTTACCCCAAAAGATCTGTGCTATGAAGGCTACTAGGCTGTGCTGCTACAGCAGAATGGACTCATCCATCCCTGCTAGAGCCAGAGCACTGCTGATCTTCACATCACACATCTTTTTAGCAGGAGAGGCACACTGAACTGCATACAAAACACACATAGCTCAAGATTCACGGATTCTCTACCCTGCAGTGCTTCATTTCCTCAAGCTTAAGTCTGGCAAGCATGTAAAGTGCCATAACCTTCTTGGGACATGACTGTGTTATGCTGCCTTGGCAAGAAAACAGGAAAGAAAAAGAAGCTCTGCTTTGGGCATCTCTGATACAAGGAAAAAAGGCTTATTTACGCTGAATGAATGTTGAAGTTGGAAAACTAGGAGTTGGAAATAACAAAAGGCAATCAAAACTGATTTATTCTGTCCTTTTTAAGACAGACAGCACCATCAGACCCATTTTTTCCTTAGCATGGTCATTAGGCTACACCCTAGAGGATCATCTGATGTCTCCCTAGCATCAGACAGAAGAAGCAATAAACTGCACACTTCAGCACAACAAAGCGGAATAACAGAAAGAAGTGAGAATTAGTTTGGGCAGCACCTGGTATGTACTTCAGATATCATTTTAACAAATTATGCCTCATTCTTCTTAACTTCCCAATTAAATTTTAAAATTAGAAAGTCCACATGGCATAACAGTAATAAGTGCATGATGGATTCCTTATGTTGCTTTAAAATATGTTTAAATTATGGGATATTTTCTTTCTTTGGAAGAGTCGTGATCATATGCAGAGCTTAATTCATCTCCAGCCACAGCTTCAGCAAACATACAGGCAACAACCACACTGATTGTTAAAACAGAGAAGAAAAAAAATACATATATCTGATATCTGACAAGGATTACAGTTGAGAAAGACACACAGTAGCCTAAAATATGATACCCTTGCAAGGCCACCTGACTTCTGAAGAATAAATCCAGCTTGAATGTCTTTATTTTTAATACAGGAATCCTCTGTGACTACCAAAACAAATGAGACCACCGATGAGACCACCTATATCACCTTCATCTATTTCTCAATTTTTCACCATATAATGCTATAATAGGATGACAACAGCAGGGTTCCAAAGTCTTTGGCTACAGCAAACGAGAACAAGCCCAAATACAGCAGCCACAGATAAAGAAATAAAGGAAAAAGAGCTGCACACCTTCAGAAGGCCTCAGACAAGCAGAGATCTCCTCAGTTCCACTGCTAACCCTTAAATGAGGTCTGGGAAGGGGTGGATTCTGGCTTCACCCCTTCCAGTCATTCAGCTGCATTGCATGCATCTGAGCTCCCTTGTGTTGGCCCTGCCTTCCCACCAGGTGCTCAATCACTGCTTCAGGCTGTGACAGCATTTCCACTACACACCTGTTGTAGTGTTGTCCTTCAAAGGAAAAATCACTTGGGTCTGGGCATTGCCATCAAACACTATGGGACAAACCCATATCAGCAAAATTTTTAGTACAGCTAAAATTCATTCGACAAGTAGAACATCCATAATTTAGTGAAATGGCAATTGCAACACCATGGCAGTCTATCAGATGAAAATACAGTCCATCATGCATGTTTTTTTTTCTGACTAATAACCAACCTGCTCATGAACCCATTTTGTGGGCAAATAGATTTACCCCCAAAGAGAAGTTACAACTGTTTAGCACAGAAGTTGTTCATAAAACACTGCGAATTTCTCCAGGTTAAGCTGCTGTTTGGAGCTTAATCACTAACTAGAGGCTTGTACAAGCCATTCAGTTGAGAGGCACAGCTGTAATGGCTCACAGAGTATTGTTACAGCCCAGCTGCACATAAATTAAACCCATTAGGCTTCAATGTGCTCAGCTATCATGAAAGTGCTTCTTATTTTTGAAAAGAGTTATGGTAAAATCAATCTCACTGAATGAGACTAAAACTCCAGAGCATTTTACATTCCTTAGTCTTTGGAAATGCAGTTTTCTATTATCTTTCCAAATGCAACAGGAAGAGAAGAGGGGACATTAATATTATGAAGTGCAGCTCTACTCTGAAAATGTAAAAACAGCAACTTTATATTGAACAAATGTTCTCCCTGCTCTCAGTCACTGTGCTTGACTTTCACCTGATACAAATTAGCATAAAATTGCACAACACAAGAGCTATGGTATGAAACTATTGGTATACCAACAGCTGCTTATTCCTATTAGTGACTACGAACAAGCCCACTCATTCCCATGAGAATAAAATGGATTCTCTTTCAATGCACTCTACAACAGCTACTCTTAAATTTTTTTTCCAAACCAAGTTTCAATGCTACAGCTAACATATTTCATTGGGCAGAACAGGGCACTATGAGGATGATACAATGAAATGTCAATTTCGTCCTGAAGCACTGAAAAGGAAATATTTCAGCTGCAGCTGACACAAAGATGCATCATACAGGTTTTAGCAACTTTAATGAAGCTTAACAATGTTTCCATCCACTGAGACTGTTTTGGATCTGGAAGGAGGACTGGGTGCCTTTCTAGAGAAGCATGTTCTAGTGCAAAAGGTAAGTCATGATTCACAAAACCAGGAAAAACAATGAAGGAGTAACATAGTGGTCAGGGAACTAAGCTAGGAGAATTCCAACCTTAACAATTGCTTTGATGTTTCATCTCCTGGCTGTATAATCATAGAATCATGGAATCACTCAGGTTGGAAAAGACCTCAAAAACCACTGAGTCCAACCATGACCTAACCATACTACCCTAACTAACAACCCTCCAT